CACTGTGACAAAAAGGAAGACAGGTGAGAGTGCAAATGGAAAAGGGAGGCTTAGAAACAAACACGTTATACTTGAATTTTTGAATGCTCCGAGGCTGGGTTGGCTCTGCTCACCACCTGCAGTGCCAGAGATCGAAAACAACATTGAGGAAAGAAAGAGAAAGCGCACACACAGAAAAGCAGGAGAAGATGAATGGCTCTGGGGACCTCCAGGGGTGAGTGACAGAAAGACCAGAGGAAATGTAATAATGATGAACAGAACAGAATCCATGAAGCATTTGTCTTCATATCTAAAAGATCAAAACAATATTCCAAAACCAAGCAACATCAAGCATAGTTAAATATCTCAAAAGTTCACTTGATAAAAGAGGAAACTCTCAGATGGTAGAATAACCAATTACAATTCCCAGTACTGCGATCACATGCAGCATGCTCAAAGTACCACCAATATACACTGTTTTAATATACACTAAAGATTCCCCGAGGCCTGCTGCTCCCGTAACAACAATGCTAAAACAAAAATCTAAGAGCAGGGAATACTGTAGCTGTTAGGTACAAAAGAAACTTTCCATCCTTTAGCTCTGGTCTGTGATAAATGTTTCGGACTGGTTCACTGAGACAAATGGCTTGGGAACCCCTCATGTCCAAGGTGAAACGGGGGGAAATGACAGTACACAAAGCTGAAAGGAAACTGTAAAATTTGAAATAGAGTCAACTCTGTTACAGCTGTTACTTTTAACCAGCAAAAAACTGCACCAACACTAGTGATGCTTTTTATTGGACCAACCAATTTTAACGGGTGGCAAATAAATAAATGTGTTTTCCCTGACTGATTGATCGTGGCTGTGCTATCTCCACTGGTGCTGTTAACCGTTACAGGTATGTTCACAGTGCAAGCCACCATTACAGTTTCTGTCAAAACAGGGTGAACGGTAACATAGCCTGCCTCAACACTAACCTTTCAACCTTGAAAGAGCAACATAAATTTTTATGATGAGTGAGTACATAGTATTATGTGGACTATACGCAAAGCACTCCTCCCTCCCCACCATCTGTGGACTACACCATCAGATGGTGCTGCAGCCAAACAAAAATGTGCTTATATGGTCTCTGATGATTAAAGAGGATGACCTGTCCAGGATTTAAAGATAAGAAGTATGCAGCTGCTGGCTATAATAGCACAAGGACCATTAAAAGTGTTAACTACTATCTATTTAAAATACTTAATTACTTAGACATAACAGTCTCTTATGCAAGAGCTTCCATGTAAGAGCTTCCAGTAAAGAGGTTATTTTTAAGAGCGGAATCAATGACGCTGGTATATGACCAGTAGCTATACTTACACCAAACACAGATGTTTAAACCAATTAGAAGGTTAAGGTGAAAAGTGACAGGGCTACGGCTGTAAAGAAAACTCCAAGAAAAAAAACATAACCCACCAGGACTTGGGCTGTCCAAAGTGCAGGTAGTTGATACTGTAGAGGTCCATGTCCTCAGTGTGCCAGGCAAATGTGGTTTTCCACATGCCAAAATACAGGTATGGAGTATTGACGCCTTCAATGACAATACCACACTCCTGCTCCACCATATCCAGCAGCGTGTTGAGATGGCCAATGTTCCACTCTTGAATGTCCTGGACAGAACAACATCCATTTTTATATGTGTACACAAAGTACTCTGGCATACTACACTTAAAATCATCCTCAAAGTCTATCAATGCTTCACCATCAGATGGCACTGTAGCCAAACAAACATGTACTTACTGCACACAGCATTAAATTAGACCATTTGGTCCACAAACCTTTCTATACTGGCAACAAGGCATAAACACACAACACTTTAAATGTATTAATTTAATTTAAAATTAACACTTGTACATTAATCAGTGTATTTAAAATATGCATTCCTATAGCGAATGAATTAATCACATGGTGTATTTTCATTGAGATTGCCAGGTTATCCAATAATACGCCAACAAAGTCTGAAAAATGCAGACTGAGTTACACTGTCACTGAAAACAGTTAAAATGCAATTAGTGCCAGAAGAGGAGAACAAAATTTTTTGCCCTCAAATAACTGAACAAGGCTCATGATCAATAAAGTGTCCAGTAAAATAAGCAAGGCTGGCAAATAAACCTTGCCCTATTAACATCAACACACACGCACACCCCTCACCTCATCATAGATAGAGCCACTGACATCCGCACCATAAATGGGCGAAACGAATGTCAGGTTTTTCCAGTACTTCCTCTCCAAATCATCAAAGTCTTTGTGGCGAGGTGTGCAGTACCTAAAAACAGAACAGTAAGCAATGAGTAGGGTAGTGGTCCTTCAACTGTATCGCCATGTTTGCAAAGATCCAGCATGATGAGCACTTTAAAGGTTTGGCATGTTTCAATCAATACCATGTAGCTTTTTTTTGCTACTTCAGGTCTACAAATAGCAAATAGGACCCAAAGGATCCACATATGATAAATAAATGTTGCTATTTTAGAACAACTTGTACTAACATGCTTAGTTTATGTCACTGAAAAAGTAATAGTATAATAGTCTGGCACACCTTAGCTGCTGCTCTGTACCCACATCTGAGTCCTGTAGTCTTCTTTGCTACTATTACCACTATCTGTTGTTCTCAGTTTGTCTGGTGAAGTTCTCCTATAAGTTCCAGACTACAAGCTACTAGCTGTGCTCCCCTATCACACTTTTCTCAGATTAGTCTCTCAAGCTCAGCTCACTGTCTTATCTGCCAATCATGTTACCTTTCCCGAGGGAACCCCGTACAGACCCAAAGTGAACATTCACTGTCCAACTACTGGTGTCCTACATCGAAAGCTAATGCCAGCCCATTGCCTCCTGCTATTTCTCCTGGGATCTTCATATCTTGGTGGTGTTAGGCTTCCAGACTAGCGCTACTTTTCACAGTTAGCTACCACTGTACCGGGCTGACTCTCACCGATCAACTGATCTGTAAAGCTAGCAGGCTGATAGCCCATACTGGTCAACTCCCTTCTCTTCTGCAACAAACCGCTGGCACCGTGCTGCTGTTATGCTGTGGATAAACCTGTGGCTTCTCCTCTGGTGCACATCGCTACTCCTGTTTTGGAAACCCAGCTCCTGGTTACATACAAAGGGCAGCATCCTCCAGCTGGATCAGGATGACATGGTACTCCTCAGATTTTCAAAGCTTTAACAAGCATTTACATCCAGAAAAGGTGGAATACATTGCAAATCCCATCATTGACACAGAGGCTCTGGCCGTCACTCACGTTCTGTCTCAATAGTCCTTTCACAGACCAACGTTCTCACTACGTCAGCATAACAAACAGCATGTCAGTGTGTCCTATCTCCATACACTTTCTCAGTCCTTGCGGCCAATTACAATGCACTGTTATATGAAACTCTCTCAACAATAAAAGCCTTGTTCTAAATGACTTCAGAAAAGATACCCACCTAAATTTTCTGTATCGCTGAAACATGGCATAAACCTCTGGATTAGTTCTCATTCAACCAGACCACACCTACAGGATTTACATACACTGACCAGCCATGTCATCAGAGCAGGGAGGTGGCGTTGCTTCTATCTACAAAAAGGACATTCAAATAACCACAATTTCCATCCCAGCCCCACAGTCATTTGAACCCTGTGCCTTCAAACTCTCTGGCTCCACACCTTTGATCACTGGTGTGATTTACCACTCTCCCAAGTAAAACTCTTTGTTTCTCTCAGGCTTCTTTAATATTCACACAATGACTGTAAATGTACCTCAGATTTCCTGGGACTGTTAAAATGCTTTAACTTCACACAACATATTAACTTCCCACTCATACCCACAGTCGCATCCTGGATCTGGTCAGCTCAGCTGATAAAATATTATTAGTCTCAACCTCACTATTTCTGACCACCTGGCTATCACTATGGATACTGACATCCCAATCAAAGATAAGCACAATATAACCTTCTTTAATCTCACATCTATCTACCTCTCAGCTTTTCCAGAGACTGTCTTGCCATTAAAATGTTATTCTCTCCTCCACCACTGTCTGATGATCCTACCATACTTGTCAATTACTACAATAATACACTCTCCTCCTGCCTTGATCAGCTCACTCCTGTTCTAATCAAAGCTGTTTCATTCAATCACTCAGCTCCCTGGTTTACTCCTGAGCTTCACAAAATAAGATCAAAAAGTGTCAAGTGGAGAGACTCTGGAAAAAAGTGGTTTAACAGTACATCTCCAAGCCTCAATGCTGCCTGGTCCAACTACTACTCTCATCTTAAACAGTCTTGTGCTAGCAAATCCATCCACAATCTCTGCATCAACTCCACTCTGTTGCCTTTCCTGCTTGGTCCCAACCTTGGAGACATTTTTAACAGCAACCTCTCTTTTGAACATTATGTTAATCAGATCACAAAAACTGGCTTTTTTCCACTTAAAAAAACATAGCTCATCTCTGCCATCACTCTCCTCTGCTGCTGAAACGTTGACCCATGCTTTCATCACATAAAAATTTCAATGCTGCAATCGTATTCTTTATGGTACATCATCTAAAGTCCTTAATAAACTCTACTGAACTTCCACTGGCTTCCTGTCCATTCAAGTTAAAGCTGCATTAACTAACTTCACTCTCTCATTTTCAAACACTAAGGGCAAAGTATTACAACCAACTCAAGCTGTATCTCCTCCTCTTTGCCCCTCCTACCCTGTTTCTGAAACTACACCATATGTGGTGTTTGAAGGCCACGATATGCTAACCCCTGGGTATAGGTACACAGATTAACCTCTCACACTAAGTTGGCATATTTGAAACATATTAAAGCTCCAAACATTGCTTGAGGGTTTTCCTCAGAGATACTCACTCAGTCAGTAATTGACTACTATGAACCTGCGAACAGAGTTCCCTGCAGACCCCCTCTTTCATGTCATTAATTCAGGAAAAGACCCCAAATAATGGCAACCTGCAGTTATGGGCAGCTACCTACCTCCTTATACCTTCAGATGTTATTTCTACTGAAAAATGTTTAGGAACCAGTATACTCTGTATTTTATGGACACTACAGGGCAGAAAGGACACTCAAAAAAGGCCTGATACGGTCCCTACACTAAGTGTAGTGAATACATTTTTAATTGAGGCCCCTCAATTGGGAATCAACTTACTTTTTGCTGTTGGCCAACTTGCGATACTCGCCCACAGTCATGGATTTTTTCTGGATGTTATATTGGGTGAACAAACCCGACTGACCAGTCACCACCTGCATGATGGGAGCGGGAATCACCATGTCTTCAATGGTGTCATAGGACTTGCGTGGTTTCCAGCCCTCCGGTGGAATCACCTGATAATAGAAGCAGATGTTTAGCCTTTATATTTAGTAAGTCAACATTCAACGTTTAGAGACCTGTAAATGTTTTACATTCAACAAGCCATCTAAGTCTTTTTGTACTTTATTTGTGAGTATAGTTTACTCTGTGTGTGTTTTCCCCACCTTTGCCAGACCAGCACGGTGAGCTCCTTGACTCTCCATGTAGACAATGTATTTAGCAAAGTCTTTGAACTCATCCATGGTGGGCCGGAAGGTCATGATCTTGCAGCTTGGGTTCTTGACACTGACTGGTGGCAGTGGTGAGGGCAGTTGAACCGGGGGCAGTTCAGAACCTGGAATGGGTTCTGGGGCCAAGTTTGGGTCTGCGGGCTGAGCTGGGTTGAGATCTGAAGCAGTATCATGTTCTGAGGTCACTGTTGTGTCAGGAGTTTCAGCTATTACTGGCACCTGGGTGGGAATCGGGTCTTGGATTGCACTGGAGCTGAGAGCAGAAGGCAAGGCCAGGGCAGGGTCTGGGGGTGAGGGTGGGGCTGGGTGAGGAGCCGGGTGAGGAGCCAACACCATATTCAAGGGTATGTCGGTAGCCATTTCGTCGTTTAACGGTTGCAGGTAAACCTGGAGGGGGAGAGCGTGAGCAATGAGGCCATTCTGTATATTATAGCTTCTTTCAAACTGTCTGCACGTGTTTGCAAACTCAAAGTGAGAGCAGCTACAAGGTGGACAACAAGTAAGTGCCCATGGTTGTGTTTAGCTTTGTCATCTTGGTTAGCTCTTAAAATGTCATGCCATGTCTTGTGGTTACAAATGATCACAAAAAACACTACACTGGATTGCATCTCTCGCCATCTTCAGGACAGCTATTATTTAATTTTGTTGGACAAGAAATTCCCACATCTATACATAATACTAATACTACCGGCAACTAGTGTTTGGCCTCATGAGTCAAAGTTGTACACAAATTGTGTGAGCCCTGAGGCTTGTGTATTTTACCAACCGACACCATTACAAACAATAAACTCCACCCTGATAGCTCCAAAGCCACCTCCAAGAATCACAAATAGAGTACCTACCTTTAGAGAAAAAACAATTAGTATTAAATTAATTAGCAACTATGGTGATACTCCACTAATTATGTAAACTGTGCATTCTTTGGATTTTGGGCAGCTGGTCTGACAAAGAAAAGAATACGACATCAGGCTGGGCTACAGGAACTTGTTTACTGCATATTCTGACATTTTATAAATTAACTGTTAAAAAAAAAAAAAAAAAGGACTAATGAATAGACAATTATCCTACTGCACAGGTGAAACCCCACTTAATATAAGACAGTAAACTTGCAGGTACAAGGCATCTGTTTGAAAGGAAAATTATTATGACAGATAAGCAAGTTTGGAGAAAAACTGTCAGTATTTTATTGATGATGATAAACTGGGAAGGAAGGAAATATATATATATATATATACACACATACACATACACCCAAGATCCAGGTCATCAAACTGTATACTTAAAAGTGGAATGCTAAATGTGTGTGGTTTTGGCATCAAGATTAATAGGTTGCTTGTCCTCCAACTCTAAATGCAGTGTTATGGCCAAAAGAGAGCATTTAAATACAACACAGTAGTCATGAGAGCCCTATATATGTATTCTCACAAACACACATACTGTATAAAGCTGACAGCTCTGCCTTATGGTTACAGTCGGTTTGCTGGATTATACTTAGCAAATTTAAAAACTCTAACTAGACCAATGTTTACAACAAGACCTGTAGTGTCAGTATAAATCTTATTTATAAGATTTCTGCTCAGGATGTACATGCAGAACCAAACTAAGCAATAATCCTGTTCATCAACTGATCAATTAAAACTAATGAAAGTAATTAACATTTTTTTGAACACGCCTTGTGTTTGGCAACATTGAATCACTCTGTATGCAAGTTTGATAACTTTACATGTAATTTTCATTCATTTAAAATAAATCTGGAATTTTATACTCATCTAACCAAAAGCCTTTTATTATTAGCTGAATAAAAACATATCCATAATATTAATTTCCTTAAAGGGAGGAATGCCTATATCAGCAGAAAGAATAAAGCTGTGTATTTTTGGCAGAGTATGTGGTCTTGTACATCAATTCAGAATCTTTCAAGAATCGAACTGCAAGTTATTTTTCACCAAGTCCAAACAAGCAGGTAATATGGAGGGGGAAAACTGTTTCACACAAACAGCTGCTATGTGGGTATCTGTTTGAGGATGAACTAAGAAGGCACTGAACCATCCAAACAAACTCAACAATTTCATAGTAGCAATGCTCAAAATGCAATAATGTAGCAAATGTAGCATTTCATAACCCTCAACAATATAGACAAATATATGAATAATATATGACTTTATAAGGGTTTAGGCTTGGGATTAGCATGTCAGGTAAGACTGACTCATATGCACCTTCGCATTCAAAACTATACTCACATCTGCCACAAACAACATTATAGCACCACTAGTTTGTGATTTATTTGCATTGCAAGTTCCTATATGGCAACCCATACAGTGACTGTAAATCAAGAAGTCATTTGCATCAAGCACAAACAGCCTGTTAAGCAGGAAATGTCAAAGTCAGGTTTCAAGCAGCTAAGTGAACAGAGGAGAAGTGGATACGTTTGGCTGAATTTAATGTATGATATCTGTAAATAAATCATACTTCTCGGAGAATTTACGGGCTTTTAAAAACAAACGATTAGAATTAGTTTTAGCTTTGTAACATTTTACCAGGATTAAGTTTTATTTATTAAGAGGGACCCTTTTTCTAACCAGGACCGAGCCAATCGGCGAGGCCACATGACACTCAGCTGTCTAACCACAACAAAAATGGGCCTACACAGACCCTTTAACTCCATCTGGGCCTGAAACACGTTTCAATACTTCATCAAGCTGCACTCCTAATAAAAACTGACATATTAATACCAATAAAATCTATCTGCTACCATGGTCGTTAATTCATATCTCTGGGAGCTTGCAGAGAGAGTAAACGATGAGGTTATTACAAGCTGCTGCAGCTTGTTAAGGTCAGGCGACGATAGCTGTGCACATACATCATTAAGTGCTAGCATGTGAACCAAGATGACAGCGAACAAAACCGACAACTGCTGCACTTCACAATGAGTAATACAAATTAAACTGCACACAAACCAGCTCTGTATAATTACACAGACCTACACCTAACTGTGTCCCAACATCAATGCATTCTTAGCTAAAGCTGGCTAGTTTGCAGCTAGCTACTTCCATATAGGCATCTAGGGAAAAAAAAACTCCACGACGACAGACACCACATATCTCGATTAAACGAGAACACGGCATTTACGTTTGGGGAAAAATATTCTGTTTGGGTGATATTACCTCCTGCTGTAAAGTACCGTCCTCTCCTTGTAAACCCCAATCGAAAGCGTTTCGTTTTTGACAATTCCCTGGATCGATTTTCTTTGAGCATTAGGATGTTGAGAGTCACGCCCACATTAGGAACAACGATTTGCAATTGGTTAACTAACGAGAATTATAAAATTCTTGGTCAGAAAGGCGACGATATGGTTGGTTGTTTACGTTATAGACAGACAAACCAGCCAATAAAAACAGACGCTCGCTACTACAGAAGTCCTAGTGCTCGTATTTACTTGATGTCCACGCCCCGCACGTACACACTACCGGGTTTGGTGAAAGATGTTATGTTAGACATGAGCAAAAGAAAAACCCACAGCGCAAATAGGTATTTATCCATTTTCTCTGTTTAGGAGAATTTTTAACCTTTGAGACAATATTGAGATAGATAAGTTTCTTTTTTCTGTACCATGTGCCATTGTAAACTTTTAGTACATTTTAATTCATGTCATAACTCAAGAGGCACAACCAGTTCATTAGCCCGTTCATGATCAAGGCTAGAATGTTTAAGACAATATTCAGAATCAAGTCAGTTTTCATCCATACCAAATCCCCTGCAAAAAAAGCAATACAATTTAAACTTTTTATTGAATAACACTGAAAATGTATTGACAATTTTTTTTGCCCCAAACATGTGCAAGCATTTCTAAAACTACAAATAGAAAACTAAAATGGACTAAAAATTATACAATTTCAGAAAATATACACATTTCTGGATGTGTATAACGCAAATCTTTGTCTCTCCATAAAAATAAAATAAAATAAAAAACTCAAAATGCTAGCATGTGAATGGACATTGTCACATACACTGCTGTTGAAGTTGAACACCAAACTTCATTCATTCAAGGACAAAATCAGCAGCAAAAGCAGTAAATAACATCTGGATAAAATAGATGATTAGGCATCAAATTTCAGGTGCAATATCCTTATCGTTTCAACTTATGGCAAGCTTTCCCCCCCCTCTTTTAATGACACCAGGTTACAAGCACCCATGGGGAGACAAAAATCTGACTAAACATCCCCTCACAGATAGCGGGATTAGATTTTTCAAAAATGATGAAAGATACACAAGTAACATTTCTAGACTCAATTAGGTTTAAGTGTCACAGACAACATCTAAAGAGCTAGATACATGGGAGATCTACATTACACTCTTGGTTAAGCCCTTTTGTTTCTTTGGACTTTATGAAAGTGCACCTTTTCAGAACTGGGGAAATTCAAATCTATGCCACAGAATAAAATAGCCCTCAGATTGTAACTGTTTGGCTTTCAAGGTTTTACCAAATTCATAGAAACTTTAAACCAACTTCATATACAAATATAAAATTACTATATGAAAATATTTAGGGTGCCAGTACACAACGTAGAAAATCCAACCGAATTTAATGACACTGTTTCCAGACAAGATACTTCCTGAGACTGCCGAAGAGCAGAAATACAAAAACACTAATTTGTTCAGTTTGTGCTTGTATACAAGGTCTCCTCTACATTTTATGAGCCACTTTAGATTCAGAAAGCCTCTTTTCTCACTTGTCATATTAGTGAAGTTTCAATCATTTGATCATACCAGGATGACAAAAAAAAAAAACAGGACAGCACTACTTTGGTAACTTCTTGTATGTTGTCTCGTTTTTTTAACAGTGTGTGAGTAAAATTAAGACAAAGTACAAGCAGCAGATTTTTAAAAAGTAAAAATACAGAGATGTGCACTGCTACAGGCTCCAGATAATGGAGCCTTGCAGGTCAGATGTGATTTCAAACCAATTAAAATCCCAGCTGCATGACCAGATTGAAAAAAACCACACCAAAATAATGACCAGCCACATCCAAACTAACGGTAGAGCTACATTTCAATAACAAACAGTCTTGTTCAAAAGAATCTCTGAACAAGCTGGGCAAACACTTTAGTGACTTTTGGCTCAGTGTTCTCCTAAGGTGTGCTAAACATGGATTGATTTACCAACAATTTTACACTATGGATAAAATTAGCTTTAGTTAATGGAACAGAACAAAACACTGGGGGAAATATTATAGTTGAAGGTATTACTAAATGAATGTATAGGCAGTTAAGATTTTCAATTTATCAGAAACTACATATTATGGCAGACCCAAGCTGAAAAAAGGTAGCAAGGTCCAAAAAAAAAAAAAAAAAAAAGTGTATTTTTATGATTACAAGAAATATATTAGCAACCAATTCTTTGCCTCTACTGTAAATTCCCCTTACAGTTTAAATCATGTTTCCTCAAGGGCTGAGTAGGCAAGACCAATGATCATCGCCCGTTGTTGTACCCTGGGAAAAACTGATTTAAAATGTCTTGCAGAAATTTGTTGACAGTCATGGAGTAGTTCTTGCCCAGATCGTGCCTGCAGGCTGGGCCGGTGTACACCTCTGCTTTGAAGGACCGCTGAAAGCATTCCTGGATTCAAAGATGACTTTCAGTTCTCAGAGGCTTTACATTTTTGTTTTTATTTCACCGTTTGTTATTTTGTAATGTGAAATATCAAGGCCATTTTGTCACCACACTAGCATGACATTAAAGATCATTCTAACCTCACCACCACTACAAATCAATAAAATAAAGGCACATTTTATGCCAATAGTGTCATTCATCAAAAACATTGCTACACTGTTTAATATGTATGATTGAGCAATGCAGTCACGTTTAAAAATAAGACTTTTCAATGCATTCCAAGCTGAAAGCTCATCTGTTTAAGTGCAGTGTTGCAACTATGATCTATCAGTGGAGTATTGGCTTTCATATTTACTCGGGATTCCAAACATTCAAACCAATCATTTCTTACCCTGCAGACATTGTGTTGGCACTCTGTGGTGATGGGCTGATAGACCACTTCTTGGCAGCAAATGCAAAGAAAAACTTCTTCAACCTTGTTCAAAAATTTCTGCAGAAACAAAATATTAAAACATTTCAAAAACACTGAAATTTGTTCTATGACAACACATGTTGGCCTTTGGCTACCTCCTAAGTGTGAGACAATTAATGAGCATGTCAGTAAAAACCAGTAATCTTATACAAGAGCACTGCTGCGATTTCTTGTGTGAAGTTATTGCTAGGACAGTGCTGGCAACATTTTTAATTACAAAAAAGATATGACATATTATAAGCATTTGCTTGTAATACTTCTGACAGTTTACATGAACCATTAATCACCATATATTTTTACTGCCTTTATGTCACAGTAGTAACATACAGAACCGGTATAGTAAGTTCAAGCTTAATTTACCCACCTTCATGCAAAATAAATAACTATGTTCACCCAAACACAAGCTTAGCATATCAAAGCCTTACTGCTGACTCAACCAAAAACGTAGTCGTTCTCACCGGTCCAAGTGACAGTGACTCCATGGCTTCATCCCACAGTTTCTTGTTCAACTTGTCATTCTTGATGAGGGCTTTCTGCTCCTGAGAAAGCTTATACACCTCTACCTTCATTTTCTTGGGAGTTTTGGCTGGTGAGGTCTTGGTGAATTCTGACAGAAAGCAAGAAACCATTATCCATTTAATAAGAGGCTGTGAGGTAATGGGCTGCAGATGTTAAGATTTTTACAGGGAGAAAAACAGAAGTCTGCCATCTGCACTTGGATTATGATCACTCCTATTAACAGTACAATTTTCTTTATGCCACAGAAAGCCCAATGCATGGCTCCAGGGTGATTTTCAGCTTTCACTGTCTCTGCAAACTAGGTAGAGGTAAAAATACCAATAGCCACATAGACCCAAAACTTACCGCCATCCTGAGATTTTCTCTTCCTCTTTGATTTGCTGGGTGTCGCCTCCTCCTCCACTTCACTTTTGTTCTCTTTCTCCTTCTGATAGCCAGCAGGATACTGGAGGAACAAGAGTCCATTTAATCACACTTTACCAACAATAGTATGCTAATGAGGAGTTTAACATGAATTTAACAATACATAGATGAAACGTATTGCATTTACCAGGTAACATTTACAATATTTGTATACAAACATGCTTACAGGGAACATAGTAACACACACCACTTGTTAATATGTTGTTTTAATATGGGTGTAATTGTGTTTATAGTAATATTCTTACAGTTTCTTATTATGAACAAATTCCAGAAAAAAAAAAAAAACAGCAGCAACAACTGGTCCAATCAAGAATTTCTTGTATAGTCTGATAACTTATTCCTCCAAAGCACGGACTTCCAGTGTGGCTCAGATATACAGTAATGAGCCACACTATTGCAACACGTTTCTCCCTGACAATCAAAAGTGTCATTTTATTTGCATTTACTCTGAAATCTACAAGAACATTTGTTTGTTTGTTTTTTATTCAAGGTAAAACAACCTGTTTCAGCACAATTGTTACCAAAGGGATAAATAATTTGTCATTTCTGAGCTCACAACACCTTCAAAAACCAACGTATTATCAATTTGTATACAAAAAACATTCCTTTTGTACAATGTAGTCAAATCCTCTCTACCTGCATGGTGAGTCCAAGCTTCTTGATGCGTTCCTTGCCATCTCTGGTCCATGGTGCTGGCTCATCATCATCACGCTTGAGTAGATACCGCCAGACCAAGAAGCCAGACTTGCCTTTGGCTGGCCAGTACTTCACTACCTAAGGGAAATCAAAGACATTTAAAGTAAATCTACAAATAGATACTTAAAGTTAATATTATAAATCAAACATGTTATTCAAATATAGATTATTTGCTTACTAGTAATTCAGTTCTGGTGAGGCCAATCAATTGCTTCTATTATTTTAGCAGATCTTTACAACAACTGAATCACACAACTTATCTATGTAATGAATTAACCACCACACTCCATGTTTAATAGCTGTTAAAATTATGTTCCACCTTGTGTCAGTTTGACATCTCTCCTCACCCAAAACACACATAGAAAACTGTCCCTCATACCTTATATATCCCATCATATCTGTTTCCTTCCTCAGGGCAATATTTACTGTGCTTGCGTCCTTTGCAGCTGCGCACAACTCGAACTGGTTTGCCTTCCTTCCAGTTTTTGGACTCAGCGCCATGTTTTTCATTGACAGGGACATTGCAGTTGAGAGCGAGTGCCCTGGCAATAACCAGAGTAAACAATTTAAATATGTAACATGAAATCAAGCAAAAACTCAGAAATACTACTGATTAAAGGCAGCTACAATATGTTATGTCCTTGAGTGTCTTACCGGTTCATGTGTGTCAGTGTCTGATCACATGATTGCTCTGCAGTCCTCTTATTTCCAGACAGATCTCGCCCTCCAGATCCAGTATAAGTGAACTCATTACCATCATCCTACAGTGTAAGACATTAAATACTGTACAGTTTAGCAGCCCTGTACAGTAGACAGGTACAGAGGGTAGTTACTTCTATTCTGAATGATGACTCCCATCCCTTGCACTGCCACTTTCGGCTTCTTCCTTCTGGACGAAGGTTTGTCGTCCCGAGATGTAAAACGCAGCGGTATAGAAATGGTTTTGTCCCTGCTGCTGTTATAGAGTTAAATAGGCTGTAGTAATATATTGTAAGTAATTTTAGGTTTTCTTCAGATGTTTTCTTTCTTTTATGTCTTGATTGGTGGAGCCCTGAGTACTTTTATTACGTTCGGTGTAGGCGCCAGGTTTTATGTTATGTGTTGTTGTATTTTATTCTTGTATTTTGTGAATGTGTCAAGGATGTCATTTGATCTGACTGCAAGACAAATTTACCTACATGTATAAATAAAGTAAGCTAACCTAACCTACTACAGACAGTAAGACTACAAAGAAGGTTTGGCAACAAAATGTAAACTCTTAGACTGAAACTGATGGGTTTCTCAAAGTGAGACATTTTTTGGATAACAAAACAGTTAAGCTGCTTCACCTGAAAAATGTCTATGTGCACGTTTAATGTGGTCTTTGAAAACTGCCTTAAGTGGCTAACCTTATTAAAAGTTATCCTCAGCAACTTTTTAACATTACTACCATTTCCTGCCAGGACCAGAGAGTAGGCACCATCATTGCTCCTGCCGTGAATCCCAGCTACATGTGGCCTGTGAACACCAGACTCACTGACCTATAAAAGCCAAAGTAGTAAAACATTACAGTAGGCCCACTGAACGGGGGAAAACACACTCTTATGCTCATGCTCAATCAACTTATCAAAACCAAGACCCAAGCGAACCTTAAGTGAAACACTGCAAATCTATATTTTATGCACCATATTGAAAATGTTTCTTCCATAGCATTAGTTTAATTCTCCAACTGTAATGACTGACCTGTACTCTGAATTTCCACAAGGAGCCAACGGGGACACCAGGAATTGGTCCATAGTGGTTGGACGGGACAATAGTGCACTGCTTGGTTCGACCAACACAGGCCATTCCCTGGAGATTTAGGGGTGGTAAATTGTGTGTGTCTGAAGGCAAAGGTGTTTAACATTTTGTATTGCAAATAGTTGTCTCCAAGGCTAATGGGCATGTATGCAGTAAGCTTATTCTCATAACAGACCATGTAAGCTGTAATTAGTGTCAAGATAAAATAGCTTTTGAAAAAACAGTACCTTAGCATAAAATACTATTGGTTATTTCAATAACAATATGAGCTAAACTGTTATTTATTTAAACTGCAATATAGTTTATGATTTATTGGCCCTCCATTGGCACATGTAGCTAATTCAAATAATTTAAACTAGCAAAATGTGAATTATTTTAATTATCACTGTCTGGCAATACTGTGTCAGTACTCACCTTGCCCCAGTCCCTCTGGCTGGAGGAGCTGGCAGAAGCCATTTTTGCTTTCTTCTTGCTCTCCTTCAGCTTCTCTCCAGCCAACACAACCTCACTAGAGTCATTACGGCAACCTGGGCAATACCTGTGACATAACATGACTCAGATTCAAACACAGCGTATTCATAGTGATGTGATAGTTGTGAGAGTCAGCAAAACAGTGATTACATTTTGTGCCTAGACAGTAACCAGCTAAACACACATTTATCTCAGTACAGCTGTTAAGTGAGCTCTGAATACTGGGCATTGCATATAAAAATAAATAAGTATGAAAAGTGTTTGTCTTCAGCTACACTGGTCATGACTGCATCACAATCCACAACAATAATGACATCACCCTTTAATCATTAACATATTACAGGCAATTTCCTAACTTAATGTTCAAACAAAACAAAAAAAAAAAATTCTGGATATCTTGATTTACTGGGAAGTGCTGAGTTGTGCATCTGCTTTTACTGACCAGTCCTCATCTTCGGGGATGGAGGTTAGTGGTGGGTTCAGGCAGTAGATGTGATAGGCCATATCACATTCATCACACAGTAGCTGTTTGTCAGGATCCTGCTTGATGCCGCAGATGTGGCAGTTACACCAATGACAGTTTTTGTTAGGATCATCCTTACAGTGCTTGCACTCAGGTCCATTTGATCCTGGGGAATACAGACATTTCAGAATATCGACGTTTTATTTAAATACATTTCTCAACTCTGACAAGATTCAAAATCCTGATTAACACATTTCTGTACTATCAACTGCTAGTCAAAGGTCAAGGTCAAAGTGTTTATTTGTCATATGCACAGTTAGGAAACGTGTTTCCCTGTACAATGAAATTCTTACTTTGCCGTCCACATGAATGCCACAAAATACAAATGAAATATAAAGTAGATAAATAAGTAACACAAAATCTAAGGCACTTTAAGCAGCAAATGCAGCAATATAATAAAAATATACAAGAATATAATAAGAGAATGTATGCTGCATGGGAGCAGCATGTGCAGCAGTCATCAGCCAATGTGCAATTATGCATGTGCAAACTGAGAATGTAAACAGTACAGGTCGACAGTACAAGGCATATTTCCTGGTAGTAAACTCTTCAGCTGTTTAGGAGTCTGATGGCAGAGGGAAAGAAAGTTTTTCAGTCTAGAGGTCCTGCATTTCACACTTCTGAACCTCCGGCCAGAGGGTAGGGAGGTTAGTAATGCTCAGCTTTAAAATCTGAAAGGTTCATCTGTAAACCTACTTTTTAGTGGACTCTCAGATCCAGCTGGGGTGTCACTCGGGGACCCTGGCTCCTCAATTTTATAAATTTCAGTCAAGAACATGATCCGGCAGTCATTAAGAGAATCACCAGCATCACTTCAAACAAAGAAACAAAATATCAGTGTAACCCAAATAGTAATCTAACCCTTCAACATCTTAAAATGTTACCAATACAGAAATATTTTACATCTACTCTGATACCACAGCAGAAAATTAACATCTGCCCACCTGCTACTGTGGGATCAAAAACCCAACAAAATTTGAGGTACAGATAAAGACATCCACATCTCACCACAGCTACATGAGCAAACAGTAGTGGTAATTCATTCTACATGGTTGTGCAACTCCAGTTAACATGCCACAGTGCTCTTACCCAAGGATAATCTTGGCACAGATCTCTCGCTGGGTGCGCGTTTCCCTCTTTCTCTGGATCTCAGCATCATACCAGTAGCCACGCTCCTGGGGGTCGTCTGGGTTGTAGTTGACCATAACAACCATTCCTGGCTCTAGCTGATGCCACTGATACACTGTACGGGCCCGTGGACGGACATCCTTACACAGCAGCTGAATAACCCCATTCTCTGGGTAGCTGTGGCAATAAATGGTGCACCATATCAATCTACAGTTCAGAGACAAGCCGCACTCCATCACAGGTGTTTCCTACACAGCACTGCCTGGGGGTGTAGTTGACGGTATGAAAGTATGTGTGAATGTTGAGGAATAACTGCTGTTTGGAGCAGTTTTGAGCAACTACACCACTCAGATAGTGTTCCCTCCAACACCAACATACCAGCAAACTCAACAATACAGGAGCACCTTTCAGAGAGGGGAAAAAAGATCCCACAGTAACCAATAAATTCAAAGGCAGTTTTAGCCCTACATTTCACTGGCAATGCCACTGCCTTGTCTAATATGCATTCAAGACTTTTAACTTGATAGTCTAATTTCACATCATAAGCTTTGCATGTAAAGATGTAGCAGGAAAACATTGCTTTATATCAGTAATAGCTGAATAGCATCTTTCTTAAATTAATCCAACTTTCACTGCTCAACCAGTTAGTTTCTCCTTCTACATCTACATTTTCTGATCACCAATTCAAATCTCTACATTACAAGCAGCTGTCATTTTGTGAAACATTACTCTTTTATGTCAGTACACCAATACTTAGCAAATCTTGGGTCGACAGTAGGACTGCACGATCAATCGTTTTGTGAGCATGAATTAGATCCCTGTGCGATCTGTGTCTCACGTGACAATGATTCTGTCATGTTTGCATTAACAGGGAGACACCTTGCAATAAACCAAGAGCTCTCTTTTTCTTGCTAAGCTGCTGTAACCATTAGCATGAATGTGTTACATCACGTGATGAGCTGCAGACAGTAAGAGATGACTGATTCAAAAACTAATCCAACATATTTGACATTGTGAAAGATATTCTGTGCTGTCCTGCAACTATTTTCCAAATGTTGCACTACCTGCTCTGCACACCTAGTGCCAAATAGCAGTTGAGGTAGAAATAAATCATTTTGCGATTATTAGTTGCAGTTACTGGTTAGCACACGTCATAATCATGCAGCCCTAGTTGACAGAGAGGTGTTAATTGAATATCAAACTTTGATTCCAGCCATCTTAACAGTTTTATAAAAGAACACTCATACATTGACTGATGGACGAAAGCTTAAGCTTTGGAGAAAAAAGTTACAGAAAAATAATTCTTACTCTTCATATTTAACATGGTACATTATCTCCTCTTCTGCTGGCTGTGCCTCCGCCACCTCCTCTTTAGGCATCTTTGTTGTTTTAGTAACATTGATGATCTGGGCCTCAAACCACGCTCCCATGTTCAAGTCCCTTGCATCAACCAGCTCATTGATCTCCACAACACACAGAAAATCAAACATGTTAGCAAGATCTTCACAGCTGTATTAAGAGGTGTAGTTGTTTCAGTGCAATTAGTAAACAAAAGCCTTAATGTGTTCTACAAACACTGCAAAAAAAAAAAAAAAAGATTTTTCTGGTTCTTTATTGCAAAACAACTCTTCTGAATATATCAAGTGTTATCGCGCTTTCATCCTTACAGCCAGAATTCCATTTTGTTATATTTAACTTTTAATATCTTAAGTTCAAGCCACTACATAAGGCTTGCATAAGGCTGCAGAGGTGCCAAACCACTAGATTAAACTGTTTTATTTTTGAAACACGGCAAATAAACTGCTAAAAAAAATTAAGCGAACACAATCATCACAGTATAACAGAGTCAGTTAAACTTTGGGGATGTCAGTCTGTCCATTTACGAAGCACAAGTGACTGTGAATCAGTTTCACCTGCGTTACTGCAAATGGAAGCAACAACTGGTGCATCACAAACTGAGCTGAACACAGTTATCTGGAGTATTCACAGGATAGCAGTTTTTGTTAGAAGCAGCAATAAAAACGTATCCCCGACACCCACACAGCAAAAAAAAAAAAAAAAAAAAAAAAACACTAACAAGTAAATACAGTGTTAATGCCTAGCTTAACCCCAGCCATCAGCTTTAAAACATACCTTGTAAAATCCAAATCCGGGATCAACAAGCTCTGGGGTGTTCGCCTGGGCAGAGGTGCCCGCAGCCTGACCCTCCACCTCGCCGTGAGTAGAGCTCTTGTCAGATTCACTCTGTGCTGAGCCACAGCCAGAATCTGAGTCTGAGAGCTCTGCTTCTTTGTCTTTGCTTTTGACAAGATCAACAGGGAGCATCTTCTGCCTGACAAGCAGCTGTACTATGTCGTTTAAGCCCACGTTGTAGTCAAATAAGGTATGGCCATCCTCCATCTAACATAAACATATAGCATGGTTAAAGGAAAAAACAGCAGCACTTCCTATTTTTGTTCCAGCGGTCTCTCATTTTTCATTTGCTGGTGTCTGTACAGTCATGATTGCACAACAGCAAATTTCAATTCCTATTCAATGTAAGCTTTTGATTTAATGTACATTTTCCATTTTATGCATTCAGTATTTTGTTTTGGTAAAAGTTTAAGCATCAGTCATGATTGAGCTACACCCACCACATATATCCTTGAACAAAATGCTGAAAATGTAATATCACTTGCAACTGAATAAACAACTCAAACAAAAAATTTGTTATTGAACATATTGATATTTAAATGTTAATACTCTGAAAAGCTTTCAACCTTGACCTCAGTGGATAATAAATACCACCAAGAACAGCATAAAGGACACTTCACTAAACATAATGGCAACCAGGCTGTCTCACCTGCTTGCCACGGTAAAACAGCCTCTGCCTCTCTGGTTCCACCTTAAAGAGCTCCATTATTTTGAGACGTAGCTCATCCACCTTGGTAAGTTTGGATAGGGAATCCACCTGGTGGGTTTCCTTCCCATCCATTGTGCGCACTTGAATCCACATTGCAGCTGCCCTCTGTGAACAACCATACCATGACTCATTATAGCCACAATAATTATTATTTTACTCAGTACTTTAAGTAATTATAGTTCTTAATTATGCGATCATTCGATCTTAGACATTTTCAACTGTTGCACACATTCTTAGAACACTGTGTTTCACACAGCATTTCTACAACTTAAAATATCATGCAATCAAAGTGTGTCATGCAGGCTCTTTCTAGTTTTGACAAGCAAACCAAAACAACAAACTTTCACAGTGGCCCACACTAGTACCACTTCAGCTCATGGTTTACCACAAAATCCAAGATATGGCTGCTAAACATTTCTATTTATTTACATGCAAGTGCAACTATGTCCACTGCAGAATGTTTGGAAAATTAAACAAGATATTAAGTTAATAAATCCATCAAGCCCAGTGAATATACCATTATTAATAAAGGGTTTGTCTGATGAGATTTGAAAGTTTGGTGCATGTATTAACTGTCATTTGTTTTAATCATTTTCAGCAAGAAGAAATGCAGTAGTGTAAATGTCTCAGATCTAATTTGCTTTGCAACAAAATTACTTTTGTCTGTACTCCAAGAAATATTAACATGTGTCTAAATCTTCAAATGTGACAACTAAGGCTATGGTCACATTAAGGTGGCCATATTTATCTTTTTCTTTTTTTTCCTTCCTTCACACAAAGCCAGGATTTTAACATGTGTCATGTGGTGCTTTTTCTTTTAAAGCAATGTGTGGACACTACACAAAGTTTATGCTTGCATACAGTATTTACACTTTGTCATAAAACACACATACATGTCAAAGTTTACTAGAACTGCAACGATTAGTCAATGAATGGATCAACTGAAAACTAATTAACTACTGAAACTCAAATAACATCTTGGTCATTTTTTTAAAGTAACTTCTAAAATGTGAAGATTTGAAACTTTTGTCATACATGATGGTAAATTGAATTTGTCTGGGTTTTGATTGCCAGGCAAAAGATGTCTGGGCTTTGAGAAATCATTTCAATCAAATTCACCAGTCTCTAACATTCTAGAATTGGTAAAACAATCAACAGTTGAAGCCATGGATAATCCTACCCACTAGAACGGGGTTGAACCCTGTATACTTTACATTTGTTAAATTACTTATGTGTAGTAACAATGTTTACTTGCATGGACCCTGTTAAATAAACAATTCCATCATCAAAACGTAGAGCCCGTTTCCTAAATGAACTTACATGTTTGTCAGTAACTGATACGACTATCTCAGTGCTCCCTTAGTCTATTGTTCTGCTGCCAGCACTGGACTGTCATTTTTGCAGAGTATCAAAACGGGAGGGAACAAGCTGATTTAAATACAGTGCGGGAAACTAAGCTGCAGGCCACTCCCACTTCTTTTAAAGCAAGCACATCCGGACGCGAAGAAGCGCTAGCAAACAATGTGTTGTTGCTCTCTGGCAATAAAGAACACCGCAATATTGCCTTAAATACTTTTAGATTAGATGATTACAATAGTAATTCGGTCCTTTACTCGCACTGATCGTCCTTTGTCCTTATTAGGTGGTTAGTATACGGTGAACTCGGCAGTTGCCTGGCTTTTACTTTTGTGCTCTCAGCTGAGCTCTTGTTCGCGCTGCTGACTCGAGAAAAAAAAAACAAGACCGGTGAATAAAACACAAGCAAAGTCAAACTACTTCCTCCCACCTACGATGTGTCACTTCACCGACACCATTCATTTTTTCCAACGTTAAACAGAGATAAAAACATTAGCTAATTCATCCGAAAACAATACGGGAAACAGGAAAATAAACAATCTGATTATAGTCAAGAGTATTTGTTTTGCTTCATAGGAAGTAGTAAAGCGCAAAGCTATTTGAAATGTTAGTGCTGCACATTACGTTGCTATAACGTGACTACAAAAACACAGGATCACAGCTCGTGGCAGTCAGGTTCATGACCCATCCTTATCAATGCTTACACCAAACCACGTTACAAGTAGAGAGCTTTCAACTGGTATATTAGCAATGAGAAATCAGAGTACATTCCATGGCACGGGAACTGTCCAGTTGACCAAAAATTCTGACTCATTTTGAGTTGTACGTCTATGGAACTTGGTGTAACGTTAACAAACTCAAACAGAAACGAGGAAGGACTTTGTCAAGTTAGCTAAACTTATTAAGCTAGCAACTGGGCTGTAATAACAGCACACTTTTAAAATGTATTGCAACATGAGGGGGGAAAAAAAACGCTTTACCTGTTTGTTCGTCCAAGTGAAAACGAGAAACTAACGTTTACGGAATTACGCACACGTTTTACCCAAACAACTCTTTGCAGGGTTTACACTAACAACTATGTCTCGGTGAGGACTGATCAATGAGTTATTCTTCAAGACTTTGATACTCCGCCTTTTTAAAATTTCAGCTTCACCATTGGCTCATTTCCTCTACGCATATCGAATTCATTGGGTGGTATATCTATCAATCTGTAATGTGGCTGGCGCTTAGGTTTAGCGCGCGAAACGGCATTCTCGTGGGTGCAGCTCCCCACAGATATTTATCGCGAGATTATGTAGCAAATTGTAAACCGGTAACCCAGAGAGCCAGGTGGTGTTTTTGGTAAAAATCTAACTGATAAGGTTGTTTATCATGTCTGATGCATGACTGTTTCGTTGTTATCGTTTCCTTCCTTAAATGAATCATCTAAATTTGTAAAACCTGGATGTAGAGCCCCTGATTGACTTTACTAAAGCTGATTAATAACCTAAACAAAGTGCAATTATGTTACCTTCAATATGACTGAGTATGAAAATGAAATAGGCCAACTAATTATAAACTAGAGCAATGCAAACAAGAAGTAGGTGTGTATTTGGGTATGCAGGAGAGATTTTCTGGCAAAATTGCTACATGGCTTTCACTCGGCAATACACTGCTCCTGTCAGTTGCTTTGGTCTATTTCTATTTGTTTAATGACTAGTATATCCTTGTGGCTGGGGTGTACTTATGGACAGAGGTGGAAAGTAACCAAGTACATTTACTCAAGTACTGAACTTAAGTACAGTTTGCATGTCTCCATATTTTACTTGAGTATTCTGATACATCAGACTTGAACTTCACTACATTTCAGAAACAAATATTGTACTTTTACTTGACTACATTTATTTTGATAAATGTAGTTACTAGAATCTTTTCAGAATCAGATTAATAAAACTAAATACAGTATTATCATAAGAGTTTGTTGATCCAGGGTGGAAAATTCCCAAGATTCCTTGCAGTAAAGTTCTTTAAATTTTAATCATAACATTCAAAACAGCAGATGATCAATAGAGCATAGGGTAGTTAGAATTAGCTCCATCCACCCAATATACAAGAAAAGTGATGTACATAATAATACATCTCTACTTTTGGTACTTCCAAGTATATTTTGATGCAAATACCTTTATACTTTTACCTAAGTAACCTTTTTTCTTTTAAGAAGGTTTTTCAGTTTACAACTTAAAAATCATGATACCACAAATATATAGACAGGCCTATGCCGGAACATTTATTGGAAGCAGCAAAATATTATGGAAATTATATCTCAAAAAACAAAACAAAAAAATCAAAACTGTGAGCTATATAAGTAAGTGAATAGTAATTATGGCAAAAGTATTGGGATGGTCCTTGGAAGTTGCAGTGTTATTTGAAACTTATAAAATGTTCTATAAGGTCCAGGTGCCAAATCCAGATGAAGTCTGTCAGATATCCTTTAATATTTCTTTACACATTTAACAATAGCTTCCATTCATAGCTTTTTAATTGACAATAACAGTTATATTTTAAGTCACTGGATCTCTGGGGTGATATCCAAGAGGGCTCTATCGACTGATGATAGTTTATTTGTGGGTGAAAACCCAGTCCCTGGGAAATGAAGGCGTGATGTCTTTCCTCTAGCATCCCCTGACTGAAGCCTGTCATTGGAGCTGCTCAGCATCAGACAGTAGCTGTAACTACCAGAAGTGAATGTCTGTAACTGTATGAATGTATAGCAGAGCATTACCAAAAACAGAGTGCATGTTGAGGAAATCCTTCCTAGCATGAAAAAAGGTTGCGCACTAACAGGAAAACCACTGAGCCATTCAGTTGTATGTTGTCTCTAGTGGGGTTGATCCTGGACAGAGGTGCCTGGCAGGGACTGGACAACACTCAGAGCTCAGGGAGGATGACAGGAGGTGGACTCGACAGGCCAAGTTGTCCAGGAAATCCTTTTGTAGCTTTGCTATGGCTTGCGAAAGCACAATGGGCAGTGAATGTACACTGTGGAGAATAGAGTCCAGTTTCTCTTCCAGAGCTACAATCCTTCTGTCCAGCTCCTCGCTTCGATGCTGCAGCTCCAACACCAAATCATACATTATATTCTGCGTCTGAAAACAGCAGGGAAAACAATTCATACATATGACATTAAAGCATGTTGTTGTCACTATGAAGAGTGTTCACATTGAATAGAGAAGACAACCTTTTACGCAACATATTTTTAGAGATTACAAAATTCCTTTTAAAAAGACTATATTGTCAACTAGAATTAGTGCTTTGCTGTTGTATGCCTCTGCCAAACAGTCAAATGTACAAGTTTTGGACAGAAGTGAGGTCACTGACCTTGACCTTTGAACACCAAAATCTAATTCATCCTTGAGTCCAAGTGGACAGTTGTGCCAAATTTGAAAAAAATCCCTCAAAATGTTCCTGAGATATTGTATTCACAATAGTTGGATGACCTCGGGATGAAATTGACCTTGATTTTTGACCTCTGATCACCAAAAACTAAGACATCATAAAAACCCAGAGTGGTGTTCTACATAATTTGGTGTGTTTGAATTGAGCTGTATTAAATAATAGTAAAGCTGTGAGATCTGAGTGTATCTATGTCAAAATTATATGAAATACAGTGAGGAACAGAAGTATTTGAACACCCTGCGATTTTGCAAGTTCTCCCACTTAGAAATCATGGAGGGGTCTGAAATTCACATTGTAGGTCCATTCCCACTCTTAGAGACAGAATAAGAAAAAATTCAGGAAATCACATTGTATGATTTTTAAAGAATTTATTTGTCTAGCACTGCTGAACATAAGTATCTGAACACCTGAGAAACAGCAAGAATTCTGGCTCTCAAAGACCTGTTACTGTGCCTTGAAAAAGTCCACCTCTACTCCACTCATTAATCTAAATTAGTAGCACCTGTCTGAGCTCTTTAAAGACACCTGTCCACCCCACAGTCAGTCAGACGCCAACTACTACCATGGGCAAGACCAAAGAGCTGTCAAAAGACACCAGAGACAAAATTGTGGACCTCCACAAGGCTGGAAAGGGCTACAGGGCAATTGCCAAGCAGCTTGGTGAAAACAGATCAACTGTTGGAGCAATTGTTAGAAAATGGAAGAGGCTAAAGACGACTGTCAGTCTCCCTCGGACTGGGACGCCATGCAAGAGCTCACCTCGTGAGGTATCACTGATTATAAGAAAGGTGAGGAATCAGCCCAGAACTACAAGGGAGGAGCTGGTCAATGACATGAAGAGAGCTGGGACCACAGTTCTGTCGGTAGAACACTACGCTGTCATGGTTTCAAATCATGCATTGCACGGAAGGTTCCCCTGCTCAAGTCATCACATGTCCAGGCCCATCTGAAATTTGCCAAAGACCATCTGGATGATCCAGAGGAGGCATGGGAGAAAGTCATGTGGTCAGATGAGACCAAAGTAGAACTTTTTGGTCTAAACTTCACTCATCGTGTTTGGAGGAAAAAGAAGGATGAGTTGCATCCCAACAACACCATCCCTACTGTGAAGCATGGGGGTAGTAACATCATGCTTTGGGGGTGCTTTTCTGCGAAGGGGACAGGACGTCTGCACTGTATTAAGGAGAGGATGAATGGGGCCATTTATTGTGAGATTTTGAGCAACAACCTCCTTCCCTCAGCCAGAGCATTGAAGATGGGTCGTGGCGGGGTCTTCCAACATGACAAC